TCAGTTGGCACTCTTTCCTTCATATATCAGTGTTGTTTATAAAATAAGAAAATATAAAGATAATTTGTGTGGCTAATCATTAATGTGCATCTGTGCCACTTTGATAAAGATAAAAGCAGGTACTTAGCCCAATTAACCCAGTTAAACCAGTTGGACTCTATACTGAAGCAGTGACAGGGATTAAGCATCAACACCTCTGAGACTCTGGTGTTAAAGGAACATATATAATGGTGTTAGAATAGAAATGTTGTTTCAGGAAAATCTGGCTTATTTTCTTATGCTCACAGACAAAAAAAAATTGAAATTGTGCTAACCTTTGCTTCTATAAAAAGAAGACCTAGTTAGCTGAGTAAATTTGAATACTAGGCAAAGACAGAATTCTTACATCTGCGAGCCAAAGACCTGAAGTCTCGTCTAGTCATTGTCAGGTTTGACAAGTTAAAATATTTTGCCCCAAGTAAAAGCATGTAAGCATAGAGTTGAGTAATCTCCCTCATGATAGCTACATTTCAGTGGCTTCTGCTGCTTATATAACATATTTGAGCTTTTTAAGAAATCTGGCTGATGTGTCTTGTCAGGTAAGAGTATAAATAACAAAAAGTAGAAAAGTGTACATATGTCCTTGCTGGTGAAATACATTGGAAGTTGCTGTGATTGATTTATTTGCCCTCACTTCTCAGCACACAGAAAGGACATGTGAGCACATGATGAGCTAGCTGCTTGCTGCCTCAAAAATCAAGAAGGGGTCCTCCTAGTCAACCTGCTTGCCTGTGCCTGTGCCATGATGCTGGGGATGCTGCCTCCAGATCTGTGAGACATAGATGGATCATGTTTAAGCCACAACAATTGCCTGCATTTTGTTATTGCAGTACAAGTATCAAATAATAAAGCTGTTGCAATGTATTCTCCATAAAAGAAAGAAGAGGCCCTTTCTCCTTCCTGACTGAGGATGGAATTTGGATTTTGGAAGAAACAGCAACTGCCTTTGAGCTTAAGGTGACTTTGAAGATGTTACATATTAAGCACTATTCATGACACAAAATGTGGAGCTGCCCAATATGCTAGCTCTGCACTCCATGTAAGTAAGACAGAGCACTGAAGGCTGCTATGGCATTACTTTTTGTCTTTATTCTTATTTTGGTTGTTTTCCTCTTACAGACTGCACAGCCTAAATGTAACTGAAATGAATAAAAGATGAGTCCCATGGGGACTGAGAACTGGATACAGATAGAATCAGAAACACAGAGCCACATCTTCATTTACTAAATTTAGTAATATACCCATTTCTTCAGGAAAAAAATAAAAATTTAATACCAGTATAACTGTGGACATATGTTACAATTACATCTTTAAACTTTTTTAAAGAGATTTAAAATTTTTGAAATAATCTCATTTGCCAAAAATGTGGCAAAGACTATAAAAAGGGCTTTTTCCCTGAACCATCTGAAAATCCATGGCCAAAATTATGCTTTATCATTGTATTTTTGTATTGCTTACCCACAGGAAACATTCTCTTGCATAGATTTAATTTGCTCATCAAACACAGAAAGTTAATGTACTTCTGCTTTAGTTTATAATATTATTCATTTATTTATTTTGAGACAAGTTCTCACATATCCTAGGCTGTTCTCAAACTCACTATTTAGACAACAACGAACAAACTTCTGATCTTCCTGCCTCCATTCCCTGAGTGTCTGGATTATAGGTGTGTATCACCAGCCCCAGTTTATGCAGTGATGGATATCAAACACAGGGCTTTCTGAATGCTAGGCAAGTACGCTGCCATCTGAGCTTCCTTCTCAGCCCTGGGCTAGTTTCTTTTCTTTAAAGCACATTATTAAGACAATTGATAAATGAGAGGGCTCTCAAGACTACACTACAGGCATGGGTCAGTGTTATATTCAAGTTTATGAATTCTGCCTTGTATGTAAGTGTGAACATGTCCTTGCTGAAATACATTGGAATTTTAACACAATGGCTTAAAAAATCACATACAAAAAATTTTGAGTGAGGTATGAAAGTCTATTGTTCTGAAAACGAATGTATTTGGCATGCTGAAATATTGGTTATGTTTTGTCATAAATTTTGGTGGAATGACAGGCAAAAGAAAAAAACAGGAAATTATCAAAAATTCTCTCAGTTTAAGGGGCTGGAGAGACGGTTCAGTGGTTAAGAGCCATCTGTAACACTAGTTCCAGGGAAATTCGAAACCCTCTTCTGACCTCTGTGAGCACTGTATGAAACGGATGCACCTACCTACATACAAGCATTATATTCAAACACAGAAAATAAAAACAATAAAATGCTAAAAAAAATTCTTTCAGTTTACAGGTACTCACTCTTGGAGGTACGTATTTCCAGAGCATTTGAGAGCATCATAAAGTGGAACAATTTATAAACAGAAGTATTTCAAATACTGAACCAAGTATGAATTGTGTAGATAGCCTCACATAGTGATAAACTGAAGGAGTTAGGAAAGAAGAAAAATACATGTTTGAAGTCAAATTTGTTACTTTGCTCAAAATCCTCATTTGTGAGCTAGGGAGATGGCTTAGGCAATAAAGCACTTGCTCTATAAGCCTGGGATCCTGAGTTCGATCCCCCAGTGTCCAGCTTTGAACCTGCCATCAGTCTCCCATCATGCCACCTCTGTACTTGAAGCATCTCTGCAGCACCCTATGTCTTCTCCACAGAGGGAAGAAATATGAATGGAAAGAGACTGCTCATAATGAACTCTTCTATGCTAAAGAGAGTTCACCATTTTAAAAATATTATTTATTCATTCACAGGGATAGTTCAATACAGTAAATTTAAAGAGCCTGACTCTGGAATCAAGCTCATGTATCTAGGTCAACATCTCCTTACATAGACTATTGACTTTAATGATTTCATCTTGTTTGATCACTTTAATTACCATCAATATGTGTTTTACTCCAAAATCATAACCTTTCTTTCCCCTGAATTATGATTTACATGTCAGTCTGACTACCTGGTGTCTTTTTGTCCGTCTAATAGAAACTTTTTTCATCAAACCATATTCACTCAAACTCTTTATCATCTTAGTCAAAGTCACCTTGGTCTTTTTAGTCAGTTGGTACCAACCACTTTGGTGATGTCTCAGACTCCAGTTTCACACAAACTCTCCATTCAGTCCTCACTTGATCATTCTGATTCTGAACCTACAAAGATCTGTGGTGAAAAGCTCCATCCTATAATCCCTAAATGATTATAGTAGTTATGTGCTGTTCAACTGAATATCCAACAAATGAAATGTACCAAGAATGAGACTGCAATTCAAACCACATTGTTCCTTACCCTCCCCTCACTATCGCCTCATCGCATTCACATCGTGTCAAAGTTCTTATGCCAGCTTTCCAGACTGAGAACATGCAGTACTTGCTACTTCTCTGAAGTGCCCTCTACTATTTTCTGTGTTGGCTGTCCTACTCCAACCATGCAGTTCTTGTTCCTAAAGTTTGATGGGCACTTACTTAGAGTTGCTCGTTACCCAAAATTCGAATGGCCAGCCAGCTAAGCAATTTTAATTATTTACTCATATATTACCTTCTTAGCCATCTTACTTAAATATAGATGAGTCCAAATCTCATATTATTTATTACTGAAACACAATGTTTGTGTGGATAAACTCAGTTGAAAAGTTATTGTAGTTCTTTAACTGTAGACTAATAAACTCTACATAGAAACAGGGGGAAAGAATAAGGATGGTGAGCTGATTAAGAAAGAATCAATACGATGGAGAGCATTAATTAAGCAGAGGAAAGACACACATTAACCAAAGAAAGGAATTGGCTTAGATACATGCTAAGCAGCTATTCATCATACAAATAAGTATGTTTTGTTTATAAAGTAAGTGTTTATGAAAGACAAATGAAACCTATTGTGTGGAAGAACACACTAGTTCTGTTTTAGATGGTAAGTATCAAAGTAACCTTTTCCTTTGATTTAAAGTATTACAAAGTGGATACTTTCATTCTCCAATGATTCTTTTCAGAAATTTCAAATAACACTCAGGATCAAAGTAAATACAGTGTAATACAGTTTAAATAAATTTTGTTTTTTTTCTTTATTTATTTATACATAAGATAGTCATCAGCAATATCTTGAACATTAAATCATCAGATAATCTCTTGGACATTAAAAATTATAGTTCCCATTACGTTTCATCCTATGTATGAAATGTAAACGTATGGTGTGAGTGATGACAAAGACAGAGTGCTTAGCCACTGCTACTTGAAGTCCCCTAGGACTTGGATTAATTAATGAGACTCATCCTAGGGTTATGCATGATCTATTACTTCCTCTAATTAGAAATAATAATCCTGATCATTATACTGGTTATCTGGAAAGCAGTAAGATGAATGTGCTTAACTATGATTAATAGTCTTCTTTAAACACTGTAGATCTTTTCTGTCACTGAGTTATATGCAAACTGGGCTGCAGCTCAATGCTTTCTCATGACATATATTTTTAAAAGCTGAGGTCAAATTGATTTTCTAGTAAATACTTTTGCTTTACCTGATTATAACAACTGTTTTACCATTTCAAAATTGATAACCAACAATAACATACATTTTTTTCAATTTTACATGAAGTTGTTGTCAAGGAATTTATTTTGTTCTTTACGTTTTCTTCAAAACTATGTGAGTACCCACATCTAAGATGAAACTTAGTTATGTACAAGATAATACACAAAGGAATAGAATTCAAAAAACTGTGACAATCACAATTTTATTTATTTATTACTGTTTTCCCTGTGGCGATGGCCACATTTTCCCCTGATAATATGAGCTGTCAATTTAATTTGCCAACAATGTTGTAAAAAATGATTCTTTGCTTAGAGAAAACCACACATCCAAAAAATGTTAATAATCTATGATTTTTAATTTGACTATCCACTATAAGGTCAAATATTTCAGATTCTTCTTGAATAAAAATGAAAACATAAATTTTATAATACTCTAGATGCTCCATTCAAGTTCAGTTTTAAAATATGGGAAAATTCAGATATGATTATGTAAGCTTAAGAAACAGAGACAACAGAAGTTATATTTCTAATGAATAAATCGTTTTTTCCCCCTCAGAGCCCGAAACAATATAAAATGCAAGAAACAACACAATATTCAGGAATTCAGCAGTTACATACATGTTTGAATTTTAAGTAAAGAGATAAGAAATATCAGGAATAAAACACATAAAATGTAACCCAGAGGGTCCTCAATCAGATCTTGGTTCTGCCACTGACTGACTAATGGTGTGGATGTGAGGAAGTTAAGACAATTCTAAGAATCAATATAAGAACTGGCACTTAAATGGCAATAATAATAATAATGACACTGAGCTGATGTTAATTGACAGAACTATGCAAGTTGATAAATGCATAATAGTATCCTAGGGCTAAACATTAATATTAGACGTTAATACATGACCCATGCTTCCCTTTCATATGAGAAATATTTACACAAGCATGCATTAAATACACTTGGATTACCAAATTGGGCTTTTAGGTAGTAACTCAGAGTAACTAATAAACTAATCAGTATTTATTACTGTCATATTAAAATAGCATGTTGATTATTCTCACTAAAGGTTTATTGAATCACATATAAAATTTTTTGCTGGCAAAATCAGGAGTGGATTTCAAATCTGAGATGAAACATGTGTTGGATTCTCAATATATGGAAATGATCTTCAAAAATCAGATGCCGAGGAGCTCAGAAGGTGGGTGACTGTGACCAGTGATGGTCATGTATATAGAGATTAGAAATGCATGGGAAAACGTCTCAATGTCAAGAGCCCTGGAATGAATTTTTCTGTATGAAACTGTGTGTTTTGACAACGAAGTGGAGATCTTTTTTAAACGTTGGAACCTCATTTAATTTTATGTCTTATAGAGTTTATAATGAGTAAAAGATTATATAAGCGTAATAATTCATCTGTAAACCTAGAAATGTACAGCCAATTTTGAAACAGATGAGGCCAGCCTGGTCTACATAGTGAGTTCCAGGACAGCTGGGGCTACAAGGAGACCCTGTCTCAAAAAGATGAAAAAAAAAGAATTTCTCTGTATGAAACTGTGTATTTTATAATGAAATGGAGATTTTTTAAAAGGTTAAAACCTCATTTAATATTATATCTTATAGGGTTTATACTGAGTACAATATTGTATAAATGTTATAATTCAACCTAAAAATTTACAGCCAATTTTGAAAGAGATACATCTTTGCTCTGCAAACTGTTATTGAGTATGTCAATGCTGTTGTAATGAAATGCTTCTTCTAAGTATGCGGTTATCAAATAAATAATTAAAAAAATTACATCGTCAGTGTCTTTCATAATTGAATTGTATACTCATGAATATAATAATTTAGTATTTCAAAATTCCTTTAGCATATACGTCAATAATTCATGCAAGTTTTTTTCTATTTTGAATCTGTCTTATTCAATTATAAGAGGTCACCTCATTATCAATATGTAAGCAATTATTAAAATTTTAGTGAATTTTTCAATACAATAAGAAGCAATCAGTAGGTATGTGCTGTGCACTATTAAATGTGCTGCCTTAGTACAGAATATGAAATGTGCAGTACATAGTATCAGAGATAAAAATATAAATTATAGAAGGTAAAACATGAATTAAAACTGATTAACTTAGTATGTATTAAAACCACAGGTGCTGTATGGAAATGTGTAAAATAGTAATTTATGTGGCAAGTGGTACTAAGTTTTTCTGGGAAACCTGAAAATTTAAGCATATTCATAGGAGAAGAAGAGACAATTGAAAGGAAAATACAGGTGCAAAAACTGAACATTGAATACCACAATTCTAATGACGAAGACAATTTTGTTAATTGTGTTCATATGGGAACTAGCAATATCAGCAAATGACTTCGACACATTTATTCAATAGACTGTCATATAATAAAGAGGGACAGAAATGTTTTATGATGTCAGAGATCATAGTGATAATTTATAGTTTCTTAAAAAGAATTTTAGCCACTAAACTAGAAACGTGTATGGTATTTGGATCTTACTTAAATCTCTGAACTATATTGACAGCATGGTAAATTCATTTTTATTATTTAATGTCAAAGAAAATTATTCACAAAAAGTGTGGTTTTTTTTCATTCCAAAAGGCACAACTTGGCAATCCAAATGACTCTTCAAAAATCAGACCCATACGGCGTGTACATGTGTTTCTATGTATATGTATGTCTATATATAATTATAAAAAGATGGAGATAAATAATAGGTAGAAATAATACATCTATAATTAATGTTTGCATTAGTAATAACCTGTGAAACTTTCAGACTCAAAGAAGACTTTTTGCCAATTTTAGTTTCAATGGAGATAACAGTATAAATGATTAATGTGACTGTCAATCAATTATAAGACTGACATTTTGATAAATTCATAATAATTTCTCTAAAGAAATATACTCAATTATAAAAACATTAAAAGAATGTATTGATAACTGAACATATGCTCTTTACAGAGTATAAAAGTAGTAAGTATTAAACCCACTATAATTTGGATTTTAAAAACCCTACCTGCAAACCTTGTCCATCCACAGTAACAGAGTTGGCCCTTTGCATTTTGTTTCTGTCGGTCCCTTTGTTGGGCTGCTGGGAGCTGCCTTTTTCCTTTCTTACTGTTGCTTGCTTTTCCTGAGGGAAAAAAAAAAAGAATCTAGCATAAAATTCATATTAAATAAAAATTGAGACTAGGATATGGAAATTATTTGCTAGTAGGGGAATTAATAAAAAAACTTCATGATTATGCACTCACAATCTGTTAATTTGGAATATGTGCTGAAAATATAAAAGCTAAAGTTTTCAACAAGTTCAATACATAATAGTATTTGTGTGATCAAAACGTATAAATTAAAGAAACAATGTGAAAGAATAATAGTAGTTATTCCAGACACACAATCTTCATCAAAAGTAATAACAATTATAGCTGATTAATAAGCAATAGGATAACTACTAGGGTTCAAATTTAAAGCTTTTGATGAGTACAAAAATAATGCTTGTAAATATATGCAGAATTGAAAGTTATTTCTAACTGAATGATAAATTTTGAAGCAACTATTTACATTAGACATAGTACGTAGTAAAAAAAACTCAGTTTCTGCCCCTGCTAATTTATTTGTTTCCATAATAAAATAAATTTATGTATGTGTGTATCAATACATATATGTATGTATGTAAATGTATATGTTGTCGGAGTTGCCTACTTCTGTCTGTATTTTTTCTCCTCATACTCTCTGTAAACTATTCAATGTTTATCACCACTATTCAGCTTTTATTCAAACCATCAGTAACTTTCCCTTTGGTACAATGAATTATCTTCAGCTGAACCAGCAGCATGTGACAGAATGAGTATCTTCCTGTTTCTTGAACGCTTGCCGCTCTTTGAGTTCAGAACACCTCTGTTTCTCCCAGCCCTTTTCCTCATTCACTATGCACCCCTTCAGTCTCTTGCTTATTTATTTTCCCACTTTGTGATTTACAAGAGGTGACCCTTTCCATGGCCTTCACATCTTGACAACCTACACTTCCTTCAAAGGTACGTGATTCCACCTCAGGTTTTCCAAATTCAATTTTATTAAGATGTGTAAATGCAAAATTTCAACTCATCTCATCCTTGAAACTTGCTTCCACATACAGATGCCCCTTCTGTCTCTCCATATGAGGGTCTAAAACACTCAGAAATACTTGGTTAACTACTCAGCACCTTCATTGTTTAAGCAAATATTTTAATCCTTAATTTTTGTCTAGATTACTGCAACTATCACTTAGTGGACCACTATCCTTCCATCTTTGATTTCTTATAGTTAATTCTATATAAAACTGGCACACACATCCCTTTGTGCTATACTCCAGCTATACTGGCCTCTTCTTGTTCCTTGATAACAACCACCACAATTCAGGGATTCTGCAGTTATTCTGCACTCTGATTTAAAAAAAAAATGCCTTGGATATTTTTGGGACTTGGTCTTGACATTAGATCTCTGGGTAGCTGTCAGAGAGCTACTCTGCTCCTGTCTTGGGGTATTTACTTGATTGCTGACTGATGTAGAAGAGTTCAGTTCATTGTATAGTGCCATCCTTGGGTAGGTAGACGTGGCCTATGTAACTAAGGTAGCTGAACAAGTCAGAGGGAAGCAAGCCAGTAAGCAGTGCTCCTCTATGGTTTCTGCTTCAAGCTCAGACTTTGAGCTCCTGTCCTGGGTTCACTTGATGATGGGCTATAAGCTGAAGGCAAATAAAGCCTTTCCTCCCCAAGTGGTTTTGGCCAGTGTCTTATCATAGCAACTGAAATGTAACTAAAACAGGAAGGAGAAACCATTGCATTGTTGCAAACTGTTACAGAGAGTATTTCACTAACCTATCTGAGGGTACATTAATTCTCTCTGGCAAAGCTCTGTTACGATATTTAAGAAAGTTAACTCTGAATGTTAAAACTATAAAAAGTTTCAGGAAGAGACTCCCAGCTCTTTTGCACCACCATTCAGGAAAACATTGCTTTGTGAATAATGGTGGGCCAGATTGGCCATTTAACCTTCAGTTTCATTTTTAAGCTTTTAGGGCTCTAAACCACAAATTAAGACAAATTTCCTTCTGCCAGATAAATTATCCTCGATAAAAAAGAGTGGGAAAATGATTGCTTTAATCAATAGAAGTATTTCAAACTTTGTAAAGAACTACTTTAAAGAATCATGACAAAATATGGAACATATAACTACAAAACAGAAAATACAGTTATTGATATTTGAGCATTTTAAAATATCAACCATTTGTGTTTGGTATGCAGACATTTAAAACACAAAATTCAGTGTTTTGTGATCCTCAGGCTGTACCAGTCACACAACAGATCTTAACAGGGGAATATATTGTGTTAGAATTCCAAAAGAATAATCATCATAATAAACAGAGCAAAAAATCCGGGAACCATTCACAGCAAACAGAATGATGAAATAAATGAAATAAAAAGACCTCACTTTAAATATGTGCTCTAAAAACAAGCCTTTTCTGTATCACGCTGATTCTCAGAGGTAGAGTATTTGTACATTGGTGAAAACTGCTCTCTCAAAGGAGTTGTTTAGGACAATACTTAAGCCTGCTGCTATCGATCACTCGACAACTATGAGCAGCAAGTGATGATTACCTCTAGCTCGGATTTTCTCCTTTTTGTCCAAACTCAGCATGACAGACAGGCAGCCTCACAGAACCCGGACAGAATACCTGGGTTCCAAGAATGCTCTGCGGCTAGCGGCAGCCATCGCCTACGTCCTGGAACTTGTCTTCTCTGCCACTAGGCAGGAGGGCTGAATGGGATCATTACCCTTTCTGAGACTGGAGAGAGGCCACAAAAATCTTCCACAAATCTTATAATATTAATACCTGTGGTATAGGTGCATGTTCACAGGATTTTAGGGGTCCTTTCCATAGTCATCGGTACTCACATATTTAAGAGCTCAGAGACACAAATCTAACAGTTCCAAAGCTATAATATTTCATTGGAATGGACCCACTGTGGAATTTGAATATTTTATCACACAAATTTATTTCAAAAAGGCAAGACTAAAATCTAATAAGAATCCTGGGAATCTCTAGTAAACTGTGTTATTGACTAGTAGTCTTGATTAAAGATTAAGTGTTAAACACACGAAAAATAAAACTAAATGCTGTAATGTTTAATGACTTCCATTTCTTAATTTTAAAAGGGACTTACTTAAAACAAAATAACTTTGGTTGCCAGGCATGGTGGTGACAACACTCTTATAATCCCAGCACTCTGAAGGCAGAGGCAGGCAGATCTCTGTGAGATCGATACCAACTTGCTAGTCTACATAGCAAGTTCCAGGCCAGCTGGGGTTACAGGGAGACCAGTTTTCAAAACTCAATCAGCCAGCCAACCAACCAACCAACCAATCAGTCAGTATAAAAAGAAAAAGTGCAACTTTATGGGTTTAGAGGTTAAATTCAGGTTTTCTTCTTTATTATTGTGTAAGCTTAGGCAAGTTATTTACCATGGAAAACCCATGTGTTGCCAGGGCTGTGTGCTGTAGTGAATGCTGCTGTAAAGATGGACTGTCGGTCCTTTGCTTACTGATTCCTCTTGACTTTGAATAATTGGTGCCATGACATTGGCTATGTCCTTTAGGGGACAAAATGCCATAAATTAGGAAAACCTGCAACCTAGCTTAAAGTGGATCAAGGTATTACTGGTCCCCTGAACTTGAAGGCAGGTTGGTGATGTTGTCCACCTTTCTTGGGTTTATACGTGCCAGACAATGTTGATAATGTCCATTAGGTAACTTCATAGACAACACAACATTTCTGCTAATAATCAAATAATGAAATTGAGAAATGAAAGTGTCTCTAAGTAATCATTAACATGACTGCACAATTATAATAACATTCTCTCTCTGTCTTGCTCTGTCTCTGTCTCTCTCTCTCTCACACACACACATATAATTTGAAATCACACTTCATAATTTTACTTACATCATGTTGTATACACGCTGCCTGCTGGTTACAGTAACCCAAAACTGCCTGCTGGCTACAGTAACACAAAACTGCCTGCTGGCTACAGTAACCCAAAGCTTCAAAGATGGGAGGCAGCTCTCTTATTCGCTCAACTAATTGTGTCTGTTAAGTTGGAAGTTCAACACAGTGACTTTCTTAGAGCCCTCAGTGCACATGCCAATTCCAAGTACTACCTTGTTATCTTCTTAAGGAAACTTAGAACTTAATTATTACACTATCGAATTCAATGTGTAAAAAAATCACAGTTTTGTTGCCATGAATAATAACTTCTATGCTTTGGAAAGACATAACACAAGCTATGTATATGGGGGGTATTCCAGCTAAGTGTACACACAATTATGCTTTGGAATGAATCGTAAAGAATATTTTTAGAAATAAACGATTCCACAGATGCTCTTGAATTTTTTATACTATAAAACAATTGAAATTATGATGTGACCACACTGTGCTGTATTCAAGAAAGGCTGTGTATCACTGCCAATTAAAAACTGTTTCATAGAAAGCCTTTAGTCCTATGCTAAAAGTGTGACCTGTCATCCACAGTTCAACAAATAAATGTGCACTGCATGGATGTGTTTCTCTATATGTTCTCCCATTAATATTGTAAGTGCATTTTCAGTTAAACTATGAGTAAAGGTTCTTTATGGTATAACATGGGGGTCAAGACAGAGTGTGTAGGTGTGTACTCATTCATGCATATATCCATTCCTGGGGTTAAGGACAGTACAGTTTTTAAAACTTACAAAAATATTTTAAGGGATAGTGGAAAGATAATATTAATATAGAACAATGTATCTTACCACAAAAATAAAATGTGATATGGGAAGACTTTTTAAACAATTTATATGAGAAAAATTATGTTTTCTAATAATGAGGAAAGCATACTATAAAACAGATACTTAGGCCTGTTCATTCAGTCAGTCCATATGAATCATAACATGCAGTGGAATAAATATGGTATATTTGGAGATAAACAAAGTAGAGAACTTTAATTTTAAAATGTATTTCCTGCATTTATTTAATAGATTTATAATAGAGACAATAATAAAGTCATGAACTTAAAGATATAAAATTAATTCCCTAACAATTAAAAAAATAAATAATAAACTTTGTAATATTTCTGTCACATTAACATATAATCTAAACTCTCTACTTAATAGTAAGTATGATAATAATGATATCAACTCACATAAAAATCATGTGTTTCAGGATTTGGAGCAATAGAACTGATATGAAACCCCTTCCCCTGAGGGTTAGCTCTCATAGATTTGGAGAGCACTATGTAGGTGCCAAGGGAAACATCAATTGATGGTCCAGAACCAGTTTCAAGAACAAATAACCACATCAATGACCTGAACAGCATACAACATTGGTACAGTAGTGGCGCTTTTATCTTGGGGGCAATCAACAGCTAGCTAACTGGACTAAAAGCCCACTCAGTGGGAGAAAATGAAGTGTGGTACCATAAGCATAACAAAATACACATGGCTGAGAGATCATAGATCTTAGAGAAAACCCCAAGACTGTCACATCCCTAGACTAATGTAGTTTCTTGCTATGTGCAAAATATGTATCCTTTATTTACAGACAAATATTGTAGTCACCATTCATCAAAGAAGCTTATTTTGCACCAGTCAGAGACTATAACCAAATACAACAACTGGTCACACACAGACATTGTCTATGAATTGCCCAGGCCTATGTGACACATCTACAATACAGCCTTTACGCCTAAGGGACACGGAACATAGAACAGGATAATGAAGACAACACTAGTGAATCGCCCAGTTCTCATTAATGAAGCTCCTTCATGCAACAGAGGGCCAGACAAATGGCCAAAACATAGAGATTAAGAGTCTGCAGGTCCTTGGATGGGATTCCCATATTAAATTTTACCCACCTAGGGCTCAGGGACCATAGTGGAAGGAGGGGCAGAAAGATAGTAAAACTAGGGAGGGGGTGCATGACCATATGGAAAGAGAGTCCTACAAGCTCCTAAGGGCCTGCTCATATGATTGTATGGCAATGGTGTCAGCATACACAAGTCCCATGCAAACTCAGGCAGACCAAAACCCAGCATAGAACTGGAGAAATGAACAGCAGACTCCAATCTTAGTTGAAGAAACATTGGCAAATGGTTACTGTTAGGTGAGGAAGAGCTGATCTTCCTAAAACAAGAGATTCTGGATAGGCTAACAAGATCTCAGTGGATGGACTGGCATTGGGGAACATCTGTGGACACAGACTTGACACAGTAGGCCTTAACACAGATGACAAAGTATGTGGGTTCCAGTGCCGGAGGGCAAAGGGAGGATGCCCATGTGGACGGGTATATAGAGGTGTTTAAATACACAAAAACTGAATGAAAACAAATTTTAAAAATAATGTTTCTTATTTCTTTTAGATTAAAAACATTATGTTTCAAACATAGCTCCAAGTATCTCTTTAACTTTTGTGTTACTTCATGGAGTCAGTCTGGCCTTAGAAAACTACATTTCTGCTGGGAGAAAAGAACAGGTAAAGTTTTTATAATGAAGCCATTCTCTAAGTAAATTCTACTTTTATCTGGTAGTCTTATAAGCAATCCATTTACAAGTACGCAGATGATTTGATTTTAATGCCAAAAAAAGCATGTGGGCGTTTTCTTTAGAGATGATAACAACTTAATAGTATATTGTCACACAACAATAATGTAAAGGCTTTACTTAGTCTATGCAACAGTAAAACTAACATTTCACCAACAATAATTAAATAAATGCTGGGGCATGACTGTGACTTATTTTCAAAGTAGAAAACGTTGATTCTGCAACTCAATGTTATTCTGCAGACTTTGTGTACAACACTATGTGCTGAATGATTGGTGGTGACATACTCTTTATATTTTATTTTTTATTTCATATGTATGAGTATATTGCATGCGTGTATGCAAGAGAACCCATATCACGCAATGCCTACAGGTCATAAAGTGTCAGATTCCCTGGAACTAGAGTTGTAGATGGTTGTCAGTCCCCATTTTTGTGCTGGGAATAGAACTTAGGTCCTCTGCAAGAGTAGTCAATTCTCTTAACCACTGAGCCATGTCTCCAGCCCTCTGATGTACTCCTTTTAAAGTAATAGGTACTTCTAAGTGAGCAAAAGTTTCTTAACATGATATTGTCAAATGCTACATACACACTGGTGGCATTAAAGGACTGAATTGTTTGGGATTTCATACAACATGTTTATCTTTTTAAACTGGGAATTTCATAAAATTCAGAGTGATCACATTCTTGGTAACATATCTTTTATTTTTCTCTGTGTTTTGTGTCATATAAGTTACATTTGTAATTTCTATCACAAATGTAATTTGAAGATTATTCCATTATTTAAAATATAAAGGGCTTCATTTCCAAATGTAAGAGTATGGAAAATATATAATTAATAATGCGACAATAATTTAAATTTTATTAATCTGTTATTTTGAGTGAGCTCTAAATGTTCTTTATAACAATATAAAATACATATGACCTTCTGTTGCAATGTGAAAAGTTTTGTTAATTGTTACATACCTCAGGAACTGAAACTCCAGAAGTGGGTAGAGTCTGCTGAAAAAGAGAAGTTCATGTTAAAGCTGAAAATCTAGCTGAAAACAAAAATATCACTGGATATTATCATATCCTCATAGTTCTATGAAACAAATAAAGTGAAATTGTTGTCTTTTCAAACACTTTGTTTTCTTATATTAAATAAACAGGTATCTTTTCACTAAATAAGAAATGTCATATGCAGAATGTGCCACACTGTGAAATGATTTACCTAAATGCAAACTTCCAAGCACACTGGTGACCATCCCTGCCAACCTCCCAGGCTCCTGACCGATTTAGTGCATCATATTTGCATTGTGAAATAACTCAACTTCAGCTGCCATTGTCTGTCATATACGGATCCTTAGCTTTCCAATTTTCCTGTTACCCACCCCAGCATTCCATTTTTCCATGTAGTGTATGTTCATTTCTTCCTTAAGATAGTGTATCTTTTGTAGGCAGGCAGAGTTAATGCTATTCACTGTAATCTGACATACTCTATAAATTTTAAAAAATTCATTAATATCAGTAAATCTAAACAATTAATACACAATTAAATAAGGAACACCATTTTGAGAGTAGTTTAAATACAGTAATACCACCTTCATGGCAGTATATATTCCATCAGATACCACCATTCCTTTCTAAGTCAGATGAGTGTGTGTGTGTGTGTGTGTGTGTGTGTGTGTGTGTGTGTGTGGTGTGTGGTCTGTCTGTCTGTGTCTGTGTGTCTGTGTATGTCTGTGTGTCTGTGTGCATGTTTTAGAAATACACCTCTATTAAGAAGACATTCCAATAGCATGAATAGAAATATATAAAATATTGCAGGCATAGATTTCTAATCAAAGCAATAATAAAATTTAGAAAACAAACACTGGCTAAATCTGTCTCTGGCCGAAGAACCCTAAGAACAAACGTGTTATTTTGAAGATGGACTAAAAGAAGCATGGCAGAGCTTACATCAAGAATTCTAGATTTCAGTAGTGTTCTTGACTTCTAAGTCCAACTCGAATGTCTAACAGCTGAGCAAATGAGAAGTGGGCAAATGTGCTAGTTTGTATAAAGGTCAGTTCAAAGCTGTCAGGCTCATTCCCAGCTCCAGGATAAACTCTGGATGTGAATAAAGATTACCAAACATCTATGCAATCTTTCTGCCTTTATCATAATCTATGTATACTTTCTCCCCTTCAAATACAGATGAAGTGATTTTCCTATTAATTTTTATCCTATCTTATGCCATGAACCAGGGAACTCTGGAATTCTCAAGAAACCAAAATAAAACATGCCTCAAGGATCTTGCACAGCAAGATCTTAGATGTTTTCTGCCTTGGAAAAGCATATTTTCATTATGCATATGTGGAGAGCAACTCACTGCAAAATGAAATGAAAAGATTATTGTCCTATAAATGGTTCAAGGAAACAATCAGATGCAGTAGAAATTTCCCAACTAGAACCCTAAACAAAATCAAATAAGCAAATAACAGAAATAAAGGATATGTTTTTGGATAATCATAGACATTTAAATATGGGCTAGGAAATGAGTGATAATATGGGATTATTGTAGTTGCTAATTTTCTTAGGTGTGATTGTAATAATATCATTGTATAAAATTTATGCTTGATATTAAAAATGCCTGCTGAAATATTTAGACATTAATCATCACAATATGTGCAATACATCTTCAAAAAGTGCAAGCTAATAAGGAACATATATTGTGAATGAATAGGAGCATGAAGTATATACAGTATGTATTACATAGGATTATAAATGTATATACATAAATCTACAGAGCCTCACATGTACGGACACACATATAAATACATGATGCAAAAATAATAGCAGTTATTGAATGTAAGTTTGGTGTTTACTGAGGTTCACTGTATTGTGTTTATGAATCAGTGTGCAGTTGGGAGAAAATAAGTATGTGCTTGCTCCTTTTCATTCTAGCCTTTAAAGCCTAAAGGTGCATAGAGATATTTCCTCAGTGAAATAAAAGTGTGCATATTATTCCGGTAAACAATGTAGCTTCTTGAAGGTTTGGAGAAATGGAATGGATATAGATAGTTGGGCGAGAAATAGTGAACATTATTTTCATGGTGACTCAGAGTTCTCTTTACAAAGGCAAGGATATAAAGAGGAGGAAGGGAAGCAGAGAGAGTTGGAGGGAGAACTGTAAAAATGAATGGTGCCCAAGGGACTGTTTAACATGCTAATTCAGATGAGGCAGAGGCTACATACATATGTACTGCACTTTTCCTTTTGAGCCACACCCAGGCTGATGCTTGACGAATGGTTGTCCACACAAGGATCTGAATGCAAGAATCTACAGAATCCAGAAAGTAATATAGGTTTGAGAAAAAATATTTCCAATCTCATCTCAAAAGAGCCAAAGCTATGCCATGTTGGAAAATAAACATATTGTTTCAGGCATTCAAACAAGCAAACAAGCAAACAAACAAACAAACAAACAACAACAACAACAAAAAAACCAAGGAGCTGGCGAGATTGCTCAGAGGTTAAAAATGCTTCTGTTCTTCCGGAGGACACAGGTTTGATTCCCAGCACCCACATGGCAGCTAACAGCCGCCTGTAACCCAGTTTCAGGGATTTGACACCCTCTCCTGGCCTTGATGGGGGATTGCACTTACATACAGGCAGGCAAAACACTCATACACATAAAAAAATGAATTATTAAAAAAAAAAAAAAAAACAGACTCCATGGGATGAAATCGAAACTTCACTGTCACTTTGCTTCCACCTGTGTCTGGATTTGATGGTCTATGGACACCATGCTTGGGGGCTTCCTCAGAGCAGAAGGGACAGGAGCCAGCCACTGTTACAAGCTAAAAGTGAGTCAGGTTGGCGGAGAGGTGCTGAAATGAAGAGGAAAGGATGGAGAAATCTGTCTTTACTTTCCTGAACATAGAAAAGCAGGAACTAGGGATTAGAAAGAGAATCAAGGAAAACTGAAGTCTCGGATGAGGCAGGAGGCTTCCTGCTCCAAGAACTTTCTCAGGCAACACTGTTTCTCAGAGAAACTCACTGAAGAATGGAACGAGTGATGCGAACATCTCCGGCATAAATTGCCTTACGATGAAACTTGTCAGGAAGAGGTGGATACGAAGTTAACAGGACCACAAACACTTCTTCCTGAGTTACAACGATGTCCTTAAGTTGCAAAAATCAATAGTAACTTTTTGGGAAATAAATTAAGACATCATATTACTTCTTCACTCTCCTGTATATATTTTTAAGTATTCTGTATGAGAATGAATGCTTCAATGTTTGAAAATTAACTTGAGTATGTAGTTCTCAATGTAATACATTTTTAAGTAGAATTAACACTGTGTATTTTATTTAATCAATGGGAGGTGTGACTACAGAGCAATGTGATTGATTTTATTTAATCAGTATCTTTTCAATATTAACTACAATACACAGAACAGATAATTAGTTTAAAAGATGCATTTGCCTTCAGGCACTTATTAAGTTCAATTTAATATCAAATAATTTTTTAAATCCTATTATTCTTAAGTATTGGGATATTTCTTGTCTTCATATTTTCTAATATGTAATCATTTTAAATTGACAATTTAATCCAAATTGTCACAGAACAAAGAAAAATCTTTGATGGAGATTACTGGAGGTTTGAGTTAGTTAAAATATAATGGAACACAGTTCTCACATTAAAAATGGTCACCAGTTATTTCCAAGACTAAAATAAAATTAACAAAATTAGGCCTTACACTTACATATGGGAGTTCATACTTTTCAGAAAATTGCTTTTACATTTGAGTCTTAAGATTCCTCCTGAACCAAGCTACTCCATTTTCAGATTTGAGAAGCTACAAATTAACATGATTAAATGAGTACCACTCAAAAATTAGAGTAAGAAACCAAATATTGATTTGCAGGTCAGTGTTCTCGATATTTACATAACAGAAAATATGAGACAATTTTTTTTTTTTACTTTTTGGGAGTGGAGGAAGTAGCTCAGTAGTAAAGCATTTTTCTAACATGCAAGGCTCTGATTTCAGTTCTCAGTAACACGCACACACACACATGCACACAAACACACACACACACGTACACACACACATAAAGTTACTTTTGTAAATACATTTCCATTTTTTAAGTGATTAGGAAATAAAATGTTAATGAAGAATTCAAAATATGTAGAAAATATATATTGCAAAGAAAGCTAAGAACTGTGTCAATATGGATTAATTCAACACGACTTTTTCTCTAGTGGTATTCTGAAAGCAGTCAAATGAAACTTTAAAACTATTTTAAATTGTTTTCTTTTATAAGCAATAATAGAATAAAATATACAGAAAATGAGTGATAAAGAGACAATCAGTTTAAAGATAATAAAATTACTGCTCATGATATGGCAGTAGCATTAGCTGGAGGGGGGAAGTTATTTTTCGCTCACCCATGAGAATAAAACATTGGGGGCATAGCTATGGTCTACAAACTACTTGTTTGTGTTTCATGGAATTTATGTTCATACTTCAGTTTCATGCTTTGTTTATGCTCTATAATGTGGGCTCTTCACATGTCTAAACTCAAACACACAAAACACAAGTTTCTAAATGGAACCTATTCTTTTACTTACTTATTTTTTTTATGTGTCTGAGTGTTTTGTCTGCATGTATGTAAATTCATTGCATGCATGCAATGCCAACAGAAGCCAAAGAAGTCAGTGGATCCCTTGTAACTGGAGTTACAGATAATTGATAGTCACCATATGGATACTGGGAAACAAACCCAGGTCCTCTACAAGAGCAGCCAATGCTCTTAATCACGGAGCCCATCTCTCCAGCACCCAAGGAAATAATTGTGGTTTTGTTTTGTTGTTGTTGTTGCTTTTAGACAGACTTTCCCTGTTGCCCCAACTTGCCTGGGACTCACTCTCTGTATAGAAGAGGCTGGTCTCAATCTCACAGAGATCTACAGGCAGCACCATGAACAGCTAGAAGTGATTCTTATACTACTGTTGCCCTTTAATGAAGCTTATA